CCCGGCTCAATGACCGGGCCAAAATACAGGTGCCGAGGTGGCACCATACAATTGGAGGGGCAGGGGGCTGACCGAAGTCAGCCCCCTCTCCAATAACAGGACGCCACCTCGGCGCCCTGTCAACTGTCCCGGTCATTGAGCCGGGACATTCAGCAAAATCCCTTTTGAAATATGTATAAAGTTGCATGGAGCCTAGGCTTGTCGAGAAACATGCTTGTGTCGGGTAAGCACTACCAGTTTACACCTCTAGACCGGTTACACAACCATCCATCATTTCTTAAAATGATTTCACTATCATGACAGATAATTTCTACGAAATTTGTCCTTCAAATGCAAGTTTTGATTTAGGTATTATCGATCCCGTTTCCCTTGTAGGTTCCTAAACCACATGTACTCAAGCAATGTTAGCACATATTATATCACAAGAGCACAAAAAAAAGAAACAAAAGAGTGCAATATTATTCAATGTTAACATCGCCAGGCCAGCATAATGCCTCATGGATTCCTCACTTCCTGCCATTTGGTGTCATTATTACATTAATTTCTATCGAAAAAATAACTTTGGTACATTCCTATGATGTAATGACAATATTGGTACTGAGGAAATCCTATATATAGGCCGAGGAACAAACTCCCTTAGTATCACCTTAACTTTTACAGTTTAACACTTGCAGTACTTGTTAGAAAAATGGCTGTCAATAGAATTGCTACTTTGGTTATGATCTGGTTAACCTTTGCAGCATTGGCAGTGAGCGCACAAACGTGGGCCCCAACCCCGACCCCGAATCCAGGCGACGCACATAAGGATGCTGCAACTACAGGCATTGCTTCATTCCACACTATGATGTTTGGATTTGTTGCTGCTGCTGTTTCTTTCTTTACGATAAAAGAGATGATTTGAGCTTCCCGTTTAGTATTCTACACAATCGACTTCAATAATGTGGAATGTACTTGATTACTCATTCGTGTTTCTTCTACAAGAAATGTACACTTGTGTTGTGTTAAGATTAAAGCATTCGAGAATCACGAAGTTTAACTTTTTTTTGTTTCTTAATATTGTCTAGTTCGCTTGTCGAACATGTCTATCGTATTTGCGTACTAATGAATAATTTGAGGTTGATAGCTGGATCAAATAAAAAATTAGAAATTATCAAAGAGATAATAAAAGCAATGGGACCAGATTGCACATGCAATGCATGCCAACCATACTAATTTTTCCGGCTTTTAGTCCAAAACAGATGTACCTTTGGGGTGTTTTCTCTAACCAAATATTAACGTAACTCCATGTGCCTCCAAATCCCAACCGTTGGATTACGACTTCTTCCCCCCAATCCCTATTTCCTAAAGAACAACGCTATAAGTATAGATAAATTTCACAGAATGCACACTGGAATTTGAAATGGATGGAACGAATTCAAACATTCAGGAGAGAAAAAAAACAGATACACGGACATGATTTTCCAATTCAAATTTTTGTATGAAATCGGGCAATATTTCCTGTATTTAGAGAATTATTGTTCCCTAAATCCCTAGTATCAAGAGTTGACAGACACATAACAGCATCGACGAGCCACTGTTCCCAGCACTCATCCGGCATTAGTGGCATAGACAGCGGCGCGTCTTCTTCACACACCGAAAACCCATGTACATTTTACCGTAGTGCGTGTTCACAAGCTCAAAATTAATACTTTAATCAACCATAGTAAAAGTCTCCCCTCTTAACTCCACTTCCCCACTCCATTTTCTCACTGCAACTCCTTTTTCTGAAAGATTTTAGAGGGAGAAAAAGCAGAGACTAATCTGAGAAATAATGGCTTTGAAATTACTCTACTTGCTATCACTTTTATTGCTATTTTCCACCGCCGCACATTCCCAGCGGCAGCCCATCTTAATCACTAATTATTACCAGAAAAGATGCCCAAGATTTGAGCAAATAATGCAAGACACCACCACAAACAAGCAGATCACTTCCCCCACAACAGCCGCTGCCACCCTCCGCCTCTTCTTCCACGACTGCTTCTTGGGTGGCTGTGACGCCTCCGTCCTCATTTCTTCCACCCCCTTCAACAAAGCCGAGCGAGATGCCGACATAAACCTCTCCCTCCCCGGCGACGGCTTCGACGTGCTGGTCCGAGCCAAGACCGCCCTCGAACTCTCCTGTCCCGGCGTCGTCTCCTGCGCCGACATCCTCGCCTTTGCAACCCGAAATCTAGTCCTAATGATGGGTGGCCCGTATTACTCTGTAAAATTAGGCCGCAAGGATTCTTTAATTTCGAAAGCTTCCTATGTAGAAGGGAATTTACCAAGACCCACTATGCCGATGAATCAAATAATCCAGATTTTCACATCCAGAGGATTTTCCATTCAAGAAATAGTTGCTTTATCAGGTGCCCACACCATTGGATTTTCACACTGCAAAGAATTCAGCTCCATTCTGTACAACTACAGCAGAAGTGCTCAATCTGACCCATCTTACAATCCCAGATTTGCTCAGGCACTGAGAAATGCTTGTGCAGATTACAACAAAAACCCAACACTTTCAGTATTCAACGACGTAATGAGTCCAAATAAATTCGACAATATCTATTACCAGAACTTGCAGAAAGGATTGGGGATTCTTTCGTCGGACCACGCATTGAATTCGGATCCAAGAACTAAAGGGTATGTGGAACTGTATGCTAAGAATCAGAATGCATTTTTCGTGGCATTTGCAAGAGCAATGGAGAAGTTGAGCATGTACGGGGTCAAGACTGGAAGAAGGGGTGAGATCAGGCGCAGATGTGACGCTTTTAATAACTGAAGGATTTTTATTTTCTATTATTATTCTTATTTCTCCTTTTAATTACATTGTTGTAACAATCTCATAATTTATATGCATACAGCATTATGTTTGAATATACATTTTAGCAGATGATCAGAGATTAGGCGAAGAACAACCACTTCTAATGCTTTTTTGAATGGAATCGTTCAGTAGGAGTATTTGTTCTACCAAATTTGAAGTTCGATATCAAAGTGTAACGCAGGTTAAATGTCAAGAAAAAAAAAGGTGAATATTTTGGAAGAGAATATATGTTAAAAGTATCGACAATTTTCAGAATCTTCACATATGTTAAAAGTAATATTTATGTAGTGTCGAGTGGACATTTGTGATTAAAATTTCAGTGCCTCCAAACTTTTTTAGTGGTGGGACACTGTGGAGTGTTATCACTTGAACGTCGAGAGATTATGGATCGTTAGATGCTTTCTTTTCTTTTTTCAATTCTTTTTAGTAGTTTTCTCGTATTAAGAAGAATCACTAGGTTGATATATTTTATTATGTCACATAATGGACATGACCACTAAAAAGGAGGTAATGTGCCACTTGCAAATGAGTTGGGTTGGCTTGCACAAATTATTGAGGTAGACGAGTGAAAGAAACAATAACATATATTACTTAGGGATCAGGATAAATGTATCAAATATTTTTATCGAATCTTTTACCTATTATTCACAATGAGAATGGAGACCACATTGTCGAAATTTTTAAATACACGCGAGTCCCGCGCATTACGTGAGAGTGGATAATTCATTATGTACAAATCATTATGTCCAAATAGATTAACCAATTACTTAGAGGCTGTCTGGCAATGCTTATAAGCATTTTAATGACCGTTAACAACATTTTCAAGGACAAAACTTACAGAAATTATGCAGACTGAAATTCAGCTTTTGGCCAGCCAATTTTCACATTTGCCCACCTCACAACAATTTTTCACGTAATATGGTTTGAAAAGTCAAAGAAGGTTGGAAATGACAAATTGGTAAAAGTGCACTCGATTTATTCTGATAGCGTCAGTCCAACGGTTGTTTTTTTTACTTCCATTAACGGTAGGAAATTGAATTTAAAGCATGTCCAGACATGCTCTTAGATAGTTGAAAGGGTACATAATATTTTACCTAATTGGTGCCATAATGGACAAATGGCGGTCCCATACAAATAGAATTTTCCATTTTGAAATTGTTGACGGAAGATCAAATTTTGAGGAAAAATCTCGATGTTCATTCAAAATTTACAAAAAAGAAATCTCTAACAAAGATAAGTTCGGTGTCTCTTCCTTTAGTTAACAACACATTTAACCTATATTTTTCTCTTATTTTTTCAAATTTTTTTTTCTACATACTCATTTTCAACCACTCATTTGCATAATAAAATAATCTACTTGTAAATCCATAACTTCTCCCTAGATTTTAACCACACATTCTTAAAAAATTTAGCCCTTGTTTGCCCCATTGAATTGGGTTTAATTGATTTGGGGGTTAAAATGTGGGAGAAGCTTGCCTTGAAAAGGTGAGGGGGTGTGTTTTATAAATTTTGCAACAATTCAAAGTTTCAGCCAAAATCTCGTCAAAATATCGCCACGTCATCGTTATGGATCCCCTTATGTAACAGGGGCTGTACCAGTAGCATTTTCCAAATAATAATACACACAAATCTAAAACTTTTCAACCACACATCTCCCATCAATCACTATTCTAAAAATTTTCAACCCCCTAAAAATTTACAATAATGGGGGCCAAATAGGGGCTTAATATTCAAAATAATGGCCACCAAATGAAGGTTTAGTTACTTGTGAGGGTTTCTATCCAAATATTAAGATTGCAATTTTAAAACGAGAAACAAATATTTTGTCAAGATTTTGTATTTTTTGTTAATTTATTAAAAAATATGTTTTTTTTAAAATCTCATTCTAACATATATTTTTGACATAAAATCGTTAGTGATAAGTTATGTTGATTAAAGATTGAAAATAAGATTGAGAAAAAAAGCTAATTTGTGCTAATTAATTAATGAAGTTAAGCAGTTTAGAGTTGAGCTTATTTGAATGTTATAGGATGACAAATTGATATCATCATCTCCATATTAGCGATGTCAAAAAGTACAAAACGATTCAAACTTGATGACAACTTAACTCGTTACATAATTATTATGTAACGAAATCGGTAAAGTTCAATCCAGATCGATATAGGTTGGTCAGCCATAAAAGTGGATTGATCCACAACATCAACTCTTACGTAGGCCACTTAGGTCACAAGTTTAAAAGAGAGTTCGAGCTACTTTATGATATAGATATTGAGAAGAAGAAAATTTTAATTACAGTGCTTAGCATTTTCTTACCATCAATAAAACAAGACAAAGAAAGAACCAAGTAAAAACCTGAGACAGGATAAAGACACCCAGGTTGTAAAATTCACACATAATTACAACCTTCGATCCCCACAAAAAGAAAAAGAAGAATGAAAATGGAAAATTATCTCCAAAAGGAAAAAGAGATTCTCGTACTCAAAAGTCAAAAGTCAAAAGTTAGAATGAATTAGACCCACCACCACCGAGTAGACACCGAGTCCGACTCAGATCATCCTCCGATTCCAGCAACTTCTCCCAATCAATTTCCTCCTCCTCTTCTTCATCCTTCCTTCTCAACACCTCCAGTATCCTACTTGCCTTCTGCTTTATTCGCTCACTTCCAGTGTTCACCACCTTTTCGAGCGTTTCCTCCGCCCCGGCCTCCTTCGCCAACCCCTTGAACCTCAGCCCTCCATAACTCAGCCCATTCAACGCCGCTAAGCAGCTATCTCGAGTCGACGCCGAGTCAAAATCCTCGCGGCTCAGCATATTCACGAAACACTCTACCGCACCACCATCCAGCATTGCAGCTCTTCCCTCCGCACAGGCAGCCAGATTACAGAGAATTAAAAGAACCCGACCCATCATGTGGCCCGATTTCACCATGCCCAACAAAATCTGAACTGACCCGAGTTTGATCATTTTAACCTGATTGCTCTGTACTAACGAAAGATGGTATAAAGCCAGTGCCGAGTCATGCCTAATGCGCTCCGACTCAGACCGGAGCGACTGAAGAAGCGGTGGCAACGCTCCTAAAACACCAATAGCAGTCTTGTTATGATCATCAAGAGCTAAACTGAAGAGTGCACCAGCAGCATGGTCCTGCGATTCGGGGAATCCTCCCCTCAAAACCTCGATCAATAACGGAACAATCCCTGACCGTACGATCTTCACCTTATTTTGCTTCTCTAATGACAGGTTCACCAATGCTGCCACAGCATTTACTTGTAGAGATGAGTATCTCGAGCTGATTAGACATTTAATGGCTGAGAGTAGTCGCGGAGTGCAGAGAATGATCCGTGTTTCTTCTTTTGTTCGAGTCAGTTTCCTAAGCGAAATCAGACCCTCTTCTTGTTCAAAAACATGTGAACTCTTCAGCTTAATTATGAATTCTTCCTCTTCTAAAGAATTTAAGGCTTCAACATCAGATGACGATGACGATGAATAACAGGAGGGACGGGTAGTTAGAGCAAGAAGAGTACTTGTATGGACATTTCTAGGAGTAACTGATTCCTCCGAACTCGTTATGGACAACTGACTAGCTGTCCGTGTCAACTCAGCAGTAGACAACTTATGTACAAGCTCTTCAGCAGTGTAGTGGTCGATGGGCTTAGGGGGGTCGATGAAGTGATCACGACACCAATTAAGAATAGTCGACTTCAAAGCAAGGTTCGGAATGACAGTAGAGAATTCAGGTTTTGACCCATCGAACATAGCAGGTTTAAACGAAAGAGAAACGCATGCTCGGACGCAGTTGCGTTCGAAAGTATGACCGGACGAGACTACAACAGGATCCGCCATTAACGAGCCTGAAATAGGACACAGAAACTCTTTCGGAGGGGGAGATTGCTTTTTGAGTAACAGTAGAGTTGATGGTGACTTGTGAAAGGAAATCTTCCACCTTTGTTTTCCACTCCCCATGATTTTCTCCCTCAAATTCTCAAGAACAAAGCAGAGCTTTACGTTAGTCTGTAAACTTTGAAGAGATTAAAGTGGAATATGAAAGAAACCATGGCCATGATTATGTTGGGATAAATGTAAAGAAGACGAAACGTGATGGGATTTTTTTGGAAGGAAATGAGAAGGGCAAACGGATTACGTAGAAGCGAAATTATGGCTCCTTAATCTTTTCCATATAGTGTGATTACGGATCTCCAATTTTCAAATGTGGGAATTTAATCCTCAACTTATTTAAATCTACAAGTCTAGGTCTCTTCATGACCAAATCGTTCAGCTTTTCACTTAACTTGAAGTTGGATGATAAAATCGTTAAATAACTTAACATTTCTCTCCAACTTGAAAGTCTGTTTGAACCCCATTTTTGATGAAAAATACATTTTGGAATAATATTTTGATGGAGAATGTGTAGTTAAAAAATAAGGAATTTTTTTGAATTTACGTGTAATATTATTTTATTGAAAAATGTGTGGTTGAAAATAAAATAAAAAAATACATTCTAAAAATAATGATGACCAAACAAGGGTTAAATTGAAAGTTGCTTGCGAGTTTGACGTCCATATTTTTTAGTTGTATGTTGGGACCTAAAATCTCAATTTTAAAAATTGATGGCTCATAATCATACCACGTGAAACGTTCGGGAGCCTATCCCTAATTTTTCCAAATTTTCTATTGTATAATTTGTCTTCAGAAAATTATGAAATTTTGAAAGGTGGGGTGTTTGGTAGATGAATTTGTATTTTTGTTATTAATTAATCATATGATTTATTCCCCAAAGTTTGGTAGCCAAAAGGTGATTGGCTGCATGGAAATGTCAACCAAGTTGTGCATGTTTGTTTGCTTAATTGCTAAGTTTACTTGGCGTTTAGGCTGTATTTCATTTTGTTTCATATATCAATTATATAATTATTAAGAAAATTTGTCGAAGGCAATGAATAAAAACCGAGTGCTAACTAGCCTAATACGCGAGTTCATTTATTCGTTGTAAGGTAATAAGAATTTCGTTCTCACTCAAATCTGCAAACCATCCATTACCAATAAAGCAAGAATTCACAACGTGGGAAACCGTAGTAATATTCAACGATGGGTTAAAGATTGTGAGGTTGGCTCGATGTTAGTGTTCTTAGAACATAGAGGATCACATCGAAACAATCTAATAATATATAAGCTAAAAAGGGATAATTAAAGGTGCTTTGATTTGGGAGAAAAAGAAAAGTAGAGGAAACAACTGAGAAATTATACTTCCAACTTTATAAAAGAAGATTATTCTTCTTTACAAATTGGCATTTACCCTTTTTGTTTGCTGTTCACAACATGCACCAATGCCCTTTTAGTCCAATAATTTGTTGTCACCTGGTTTGGACCGTTTGGTGGGTCAAATCTTTAACTTTAATTTGGACATTTAGTTCCTGTTCGATGGAGATTAAAATTATACTTTTAACAAATTTTAATAAAAATAATAAAATGCGCAATTGAAAAACGAACCATACTACATTTACAGTTTTATTTGACAGTCCACTCACATGGGGATGTAGCCTACAATTGCGGGGCCCACCCCATGTGAGGGTGTTGTCAAAAAGACTGTCAAATAAAATTGTACATTCAGTTTTATTGTTGAAAAAATGTAAATTTCATGAAATATAAGATTAAAATTAATTATTGAATTTGATTCTAGTAAAAATTTAAATTTCTATCAAATGGGGGCTTAAGAGGTCTGAATTTTGATTGAGTTTTAAGCACCATTTCACACGAATCGTGATGACATGATATAAAGTTGGAAATTTTGTTGCCGTAAGATAAAATAATCTCATGATATTAAAAAAGGTATGTGGACCCTTCTCACTTATAAAACTAGGGGTACAAATAAGAATCGTCAAATCAAATTGAAATCGAGTTTTCAAAACAATTGGCTTGAATTCACGTGAACTTGTTATATGATCTCAAATCAAAGCAAATACGATTTGGTTAATTTTGAATTAAAGATTAATTTGACCCGCATCTTTATTTATAATATAATTTATGTCAATAAAAATTTCACATGTACGTTGCTTGTGTGTTTAAATATGCATTAACATGTCTATAATTTCTAAACCGTGGTTTTGTTAAAAAAAATAAAATTCAAGCCTGTATAAATGAATTAATTTGAGGGAAAAATTCACAACTCGTGCTTTATCTATCCCAAAATAAAAAATCAGACCCCAAAGTTTAGAATTACAAAAATCAGGTTTTTCATGAATTAATTAATTATATTTTACAATTATTAAATTAAATTAAATTAAATTAAATATTTAACTGTAATATAAAATAATTAACACACCCCCACCGCTCCGGCGACTATTCTCTGGTCACAGGTCACATATCAAAAATTTTGTAGGTGACAGATTTTTTCGAGGTCACAGATCTAAAATTTTATAGGTCATAGTTTTTTCATCGGTCACAGATCAAAAATTTTTTTGGTCACGAATTATTTCGAGATCACAAATCTAAAGTTTTATAGGTCACCGATTATTTTATTGGTCACAGATAAAAAAAAAATTATATGTCACATGTGACGTATTTTCAAATTTGTTGGTCACAGACACCAACAAATTATCAATTTTAAAGTCACAGGTCAATAGTAAGGTCGCAGACACCACAAAGAACCACCACCGTCGTTGACCCTACCACAACAATAACAAAAAAAGACCACCACCGCATGGATCACCATCACCACCGCACAGCTGTCACCATAGATCCACCACCATCACCCAAAACATACCACCACAGATACACTACCTCTACAACCACACATCCCCAGATCTACGACATTTTCCAAAATCAGACCCCATCAATACTTGGTGTCACGGATTGCAGCTTTACTTGAGCCCTGTGATCCTAACGCAGCCGCAGTTTACCCAACTTTGGCCGCACATTGTAAATATTTCATTTAATTGTAAAATAGTTGATAACTAAAAAAGTTTAGTATGATTCCTCGACTTTTTAACGTCTACACCGTCATATGGGTTTTTGTTGCTAAATTTCTTATAGGGGGTATTAGTCTTTCAAACATTTTTCAAGCTTTCTAGTGTTCGCCCCCTACACTAGCCATTGTAATTTCCTGCTTTCGTCTATTGTAATGTTCAGCTTTCAAGCAATCAATGATCAAGTTTATTTCAATACATTTCAATTTCATGTTGTAAGCTTTCTTTAATTTGCAATCAAATTTACTTTCGTCCCGAAACGACCGGGAGTAGGGGGAAGGTAGTCTAGCGGAGAAGACTACTGCCGCACGGTATCCTTTTTTGTGCTAAGAAGAAAGGTACCCCATGAAACTTGGTATCAAAGCTGCGGCTAAAGACCCTCGATAAGAAAGCTATGGATGCAATGGAATCGAACACCACGGAGGTGGTAGATCCTCAAAAGAGGAATATGAAACAACATTTGGAGGCGTTGGAGGTGATAAACACTAGGTTGTGTTTAGCCATGGAGGGCCTCGGAGAAAAGGTCGAAGTGGCAGATACGGAAACTCGGGAAGTATGCATCCAATTGGATGAATGCCAAGAAGCTTGCCCAGCTACGATTGAAGCTGTCTCGTACCTGATCTGCAGGAGGAAGTGGGAACGTTGAAAGCTCAACTAGTAGTTCTTCAACGCGCGTTTGCCAATGGGCAAGCCACCGTGCAAGAGTCTATGCATAGGCTCAGAATTCTAGAACCGTGTACCTACGGAGGGGCACGCAATGCTAAAGAAGTTGAGAACTTCTTGTTCGATATGGAACAATACTTTCTTGCGGCTTCGATTCAAGATGAAGCGAGAAAGGTTACTATAGCTACCATGTATCTAGGTGGAGATGCGAAACTATGGTGGCGGACGAAGTATGCTGATATTCAGGCCAACAGGGTCCGAATAGATTCTTGGGATCTTCTCAAGGAAGAAATCAGATCTCAGTTTTTCCCAGAGAATGTGGACTACCCGGTACAACGTGCGCTGCGAGATCTGAAACATACAAGCTCCATCAAGGAGTATGTGAAAGCCTTTTCCGGGCATATATTGAATATTCGAGACATGTCGGAAAGGGACAAGCTATTCACATTCATGAAAGGGTTGAAATCGTGGGCATGCACGGAACTTCAGAGATAGAAGGTCACTGATTTAAGCGCACCTATAGGAGCTGTCGAATGTTTGAGTGACTATCAACTAGAATCGAGAGAGAATCGACATTCGGGAAATAGTCAGTCTATCGGAGGTGGAAATAGACCTCACAGACCTAGCTTGATCTCAAATGGGGGAGAGCGTTACTCCCAGAATCGGGGAGGAGCCTATGAAGGCTGCCGTTAGAATAACAATTTGAACTAAGGAAAAGCATAGGAGGGCAGATCTGATGCCAGTCCTAAATTGAAGTGCTTTTTATGTGAATGACCACATCGAGTGGCGGAGTGTCCTCAGAAACGGATGGTGAATGCATATTGCCAACTAGCAAGTGGGGGAACCAAATCAAAGTAAGGTACTCCACAAGCTAGCTGCCATGGCGAGATTGACTCCGAAGAGGACAAGGATGTAGTTGGTACATTCTCACATTGGTGCAATATACTATTGCATCGAGTTACTCAAAGGGAAGATGGTCCCTCGAAAGAGTCGAAGATGGAGGAATCGAAGGCTCGCACTTATAGGGCTAAAGACCTGATGTACATTGATGTGAGGATCAATGGAAAGCCAATCAGGGCTATGATCGATACCGGTGCAACCTACAACTACGTTGCAAGNCCACCCATCACTGAAGGGTCGGGGATGGGTGGGCCAAGACATAGTCTGGTGTAAGTTAAGATACCTGGATATCAAAAAAAAAAAATGCGCAATTGAAAAACGAACCATACTACATTTACAGTTTTATTTGACAGTCCATTCACATGGGGATGGAGCCTACAATTGCGGGGCCCACCCCATGTGAGGGTGTTGTCAAAAAGACTGTCAAATAAAATTGTACAT